CAGGATTGTTTTGATTTCTACAAATGTCACGCGCGGCTGAGTGTGTTTAATTTCGAAACTTGTATAATAAAAAGAATTAAAGAATTCCTTGTGTCGAACCAGATTATAACATATCAACAAATTTTAGACTTAAATTTAAGTTATTTGATACCTCGGCTTCATGGTGGTATCTTTACATTCTCTAAAGTCATTAATAACTTTACCAAGATCACGCATAATAGTTGTTGTGTACGCGTTTTCTATTCGAAAATCTTATAGTGAAACCCGTACGTCGCACGCCGACTTAACTTTGTGCGAACTGTTTGGAAAGTGGACTGTATCTAATTACTTCAGTGAAAAATACCTTAGTGTTTATTTTTGGTTAGTTCAATAATAATCGTCAGCGGCGAGAGTATACAACGACGTCTATGTTCCGTCTCGTGTCTAGTTCAAAATTTTTCTTGTGTCTCTCCTCTCTGTACCTTGCGTGGGTTTTTATAAACCTTTTTTGGTAGGGGAGTACAAAATTTGTCCGAGTGGGACTCAACCGGTGATCCTGGAGGGGGTTGCCGATTGCAGCCCTCGGGTGACCCACGCAAGGGTCTTGAACGTTCTTGACACTGACCATAGCGAGTAATAAAACCAAGGATCGCCTCGACTTCTGGCAAACAGATGTAAGTTAAAGTTACGGTAAATCTACAAACTGGCAAAACGTGCCGAAGCAAATACGACTAAATTATTGAAGTAATGGTTCCTTGGGCTTTTATTTCTGCTATGGTAAAAAATACTCAGGGCTCCAATGTGCCTCGCAGAAGGTGTCGTCAATAACCCTCCTAAAGAGATTTAGCGACGCAACAATAGTTGATATAAAATACAAAAAAGGGAATACAGAATAGTTTCTGAATGAATAACTCAAATGCTAATTTAATATAATTTAGCACTGATATTTAACTGTCTGACGAATTTTTCAAATGGATTCGCGGAATATAATATTCCGGACGACACAAAACATGTAATAAAATGTAAAAATTGGAATACATTCTTTCCTTTCTTTATATACACATATACAAGATGCTCTGCCACTCTAACTGTATCACAGGTTGTAAACCATTTTGTAATAGCATAGAAGAAAGAAATCAGGAGATTTAAAAAATGCATGTATGCAGTAATCACATTTAAAATGTAACCCCAGAGGCGACTTCCGAGTACAAAGGGTTCAAAGTTCCATTTGCTTTACATTTATGATAACGATATTAAAATTTATAATTTTAATCAATATTAAACTTTAATTTTTAAGAGTTTGAATGTTAGAATTAAGGAAAAATCAATATGTTATTCAGACCACATATCATTAGAGTTATACAAATTAAACAATGAATTATAATGAATGACAATGGATTATAAACAATTTTATGAAAATTAACACAAGAACTTCAATTAAAGGTACAATTCGTCAAACCGATCGATAAACATTTATAATGCTCGTTACGAACAAAGCACAGCAATGTTAATTGCTTTCACAAAATGTTAAATGACATAGCTAAATACCGAAGTTGTCGAAATGTACATAGTAGTAAGGGTTTGTGTACTGTAATTTGTCGCCCTGAATTGCATCAATATGGTGCTTTAAATTAATTTGATCTGCTGTGAATTGCGCGATCGCAGAAGAACGTTTGAAAAATATTCAATAGAAAAAGAAATGAAAGTATTAGGAAGAAATAATGTAAGATTAATCAACTTCATATTAGCCTGAAAAATATCCTCTGAATCGGATTTCACTATTTTTTACATGCTTTATTATACGTGTAAATGCCATATTTTGAAGAAACATTACTCCTATTTCTTTTTTCAGATAAGAACATTATTCTTATTGTAGACGAACATAAACTGATGTATGATACTAAATGTGATAATGATAATATTAAAAAACCCATACCTTTTAGTGTTGTTTTTTCGAATATATTTTCCTGTATTACAACACTGACAAAATTGTTTAAAAAATTTTTGTCTTCCATATCATAGATTTCTACGCTTAACTAATGTCAGGAAGCAAAGAAGATCATTAATTACTACAAACTTGATTATCGCACTTCGTAGTATACTAAATAATTTATTAACAGAATTAATTTAAAGAAAGAAGTTAAACTTAACTTCATTTAGTTACAGAAAGACACAGAAAATGAATTAATCAGACAAGTAAATTTTACAATATCATACAAGAGAATAGAAAAAAAGGAAAAACGAGGCATTAAGAAAAATGTACAATTTGATTGTGTACATTATTCCTTTAAGAGTTGTTTATTTTATACGATATCAAGTGGATTATCTAATTTTATATTAGATGGAAAGGGTACAAATTTTACTGTTATGTTGTTTATTCTGTTTTACGTGAATGAGACTTTCCAAAGTTTGCACCCGTGAAATTGAATTTTGGAATCGCTACAGAATTCCCTAAACTTTTCAGGGCGTAAAAATTTATAGTTTTCCGAAACTGTGTGTAGGACTCAGAGGATCACGCAAAATCGTACATTCAAACACTTTATGTACAGACACGAACACGTTATCGTTCCGCCGCTTGATTTCACAGGGTTGCCAAAATTTGCTGAATGTTGTCCGAATACTTCTCACATCGATCACTTTTCGATGTGAATGCGAATACTATCTGAATGGTGAGCAGACGTATTTATACATCCACAAAAATTTGTCGAAAATTTAACAAAAATAATAATCATTTTAATTTGGTTCTAATGAAAGTCATCGTGTTACACCTAATAAGAATAATTACAATTAATTATTTAATGTAAGTAAATGAGAATATAAACATGAAATTTATAGTCCCCGTAATTTGAATACTGCGTTTTACGTTTATATTATAATTTTTCTGAAATTTAGTCATTTTTAAATGAATTGAATATTTTCAAAAATATACAGTTACTCACGAAAGTATCCATCCATCTACTTATATTGTAAACTCTATTTATTTATATTGAAACTGTACGTTAAATTTTACATATTTAACAAATGTTAGAATTAATGTTATGAAATATTTGTAAGTTATATTGTCATAAACCATAATTGGAGTACTTTAAAAGAACATTATTTAATATGATACTGTTAGAAATATTCAAAACACGCGGCAAAACGCAAAACATTTGCTTGTATGGATAACATATTTGTATTTATATCGATTATCATTACGCTGTGAATCTTGTCATTCATTCTGATTAAAAATATTTCTTCTTAGAGCATACTTTATTAATTTCTTATCATCCAATTAACACGTTGACTACACCACAGCGATCACCGATGGCCAAAGTTTCCAAATTACTTAGAAACAATTACAATTTGCCAGATGACTGATGTCGAATGAAAATGTTCAATAATGTAAATAATTATATAGCAATGTTAAAAGACTGAGTTAATTAAAGTAAATATAGTAAATATAGTTAACAAACTTCGTTTTATCAAATACTTTTATGAGTAACTATGTATAAGTAAATCACAAAGAAATTCTGTTCCATCGTAATGTCATACCACGCACGACAAACGCAACTTTAATTTATTAAAAACGAAAATCGATGAACTTAAAAAGGTACTGTCAACGACTAAAAAACCAAAAACTATTCCGTACGTAATAATTTCATCAAATGAAATTTGAAATTCACAGGAAATATTGAAAGCAATCGATCAGTAAACTTTCTAGAAATTAGTTAAGAGACTCATTAGAATTCCCTTTAAACTCTCGAACTTGTTTCCCCGAGTTACATGGGCAAGAAAATAAACGAAGAATCAATAAAACCGGAGAATTACGTATTCAAAAAAAAAGCTTTAACTTCCATTAAAGTTTTGTCGATCGATCTAATTATGACTACAGTTGAATCGAAAAACCCTGTCTCGAAACCACTCAAACTCTAATGATATTGAGTAAGCAAGAATTTCCGAGGTTCTTGTTGAATTTCAACAGTGGCTCGATCAAAAACTTTCTCGCCATCTTTCGCGCAGTTCTTCAATGTTTCCGCAATGCGGACAAAAATCAGAATCAGTAAAGATAAACTGCCGTAATACAATACTTACAGGAATAATGAACACACAAGCGTAAATCGACAAATGATATTAATCTGCCACATAGTTACTTTAATCATATACCTTTGACGAGAACCAAACAAATGAAATTATACAATTAAAAAAACTATAGGCAATCATCAAATAACACGATTAATTTTACTTAACTTTACTTAACTATGTGGATTATATACTTTTAACCTTATTAAAAATATATTCGGAAAAACAAATAAAGGCTGAATCAGTGAAAGAATCATTCAAATGAAAAAGTTAAATCCGATAAATTTAAAGTTCGGCTAAAAATGAATAAATGTAATGATTCCTTAAAAATAAAATCCACTAAAACTACCAGACGGGTAAAAATGACCCATTGCTAATGTCTTCTTTTTGCAATTATTAAAAAGATAATAGATGTTTCTCTGAGAATTTATTGAAGAAACTGATTTACCAATGCGCAAATTGAATTGTAAATCAATTAAAATCTCAATAGGTGTACTCTTGGAGTTTCTATAGAGAAATTTCTAAAAATCAATGTAACTGCTCAGTAGTTTTAGTCTTAATTATCACACGTTTAGTCATTGTTATTAAACAAAAAGTGGATTCTTTTTCCTCAAATACGGAAATAGATTTCATTTGGCCCAACTATAACACATTAATACAAGTTGGTAAACCCTTTAGCTTCGGGCGGCGTGGAATCCACATCGCTTGAATTTTTAAAAAATTCTAATGTTGGTTTACGTATAGAACCATATTTTGGAGCGTATCATGTTCAAAAATACATTTAATAATAAACATATTTCCTTTATTTCCAAGCATTTTCCCGTTTTCGCACTACATTACAGATTTTCTTGTAATAAATCAGTATAAACTATATATAAATTAAGTCTACGTGTCTGAAAGGAAAAATCAATGAATTACCCGTAGCTGAAGGGTTAACATTCGAGATAAGAAATACTTACGAGCATAATACACGCAGGTTCTCTTTTGAAGACGCAAAACGCATGGCGTCACTGTTGATTCTTTCGAGAGGGATTCCGCACTTCACCAATCTTTCGTGCCCGCACTCTTCACTTGTATCTGCACTCCGGCAACTGCCAAGCACTGAAATAAGAAATAACAAGTTCAAATGAATTAATATTACACAACGAATGCCATTTTTTAATGAATCTAAAGTAAAAATAAGTTGACCCGTATTCGTTGGTGTCTTCCAATGCGCATTACTTATTCAACTATTTAACATTTAATCCTTTGAGGTCGAACGTTGGAATGTCGACGATGCCAGACTTCAATATTTTAAATCGAAGGTTGCAATCGAGTAACTGAATTATTGAAATACCAAAAAATCGGTCAATCATTTTCGTCTATTTTAGCGTTTAATCAGTTAACTGCATTTGACGGGTATATACGTCATCTTAAAACTCAAAATGATACTAATTCTTTCAACGATGTATTATTTATTTTTTTTAAAAAACATGTAATTTTTCTTTATTTTGCTTTCGTCTTTCATTAAAATATACCCTAAGTATATTCGTCCTGCGTTAAACGACTACAGGATTTTAATGCGCGAAAAACGAGAAATTTTTCAAATTAAATTCCGTAGTTAGCAGGTTAAACACAGCTAGTTTCTACATTTTGTAATATAAACTTGATATCTTGCACATAGACCATTTTGTTCACTGCTGCTGACTTGTCGCAGGTGATTTTTAACAATTCAACTGATTTCATAAGTTATTACTACTCCATCTGCTAATGTACTGTATGCAGTATTCATTTCATTTTAAATATCTATATAAATAACATTAATATACTACTTCACATACTTACATTATATATCTCATAATTAAACAGTGGTACAGTAAAAATGTATTTTTAAGAGTCCTGCATATAATCAATGAACAAATGTAATTTGATGTGATTCGTATACAAGGTATTAAGTTAGATTCATGTACAGTTTCATTCTATGTCAATGTGTGCTCTAAGGTGTAAACATTGATAGCAGAGGAACAATATGTAAGTTGCATGCAAACAAATAGAATAATATTTATGTTTGTCAAATTCTATTAGAAATCTTGACCATGAATCTGACACGATATTGTAGGGCAAGGGGTTAATGAGAAAATCAAAAACTAAAGACGCAAATGTGAATGGATACAAGGATTAACGTCTTTCCACAAGGCATTAAACTGTGTCGACATATACACTCTTCGATTATCACTCGCCAAAAATTGGACTATGTAATAAGCTATGTTTTGTATTAATGAGTTGCTTTAATGTGTTGATACATACATAGTCACCCATTTATTTAAAGAAAAACTAAAGAACAAACAAAGGCAAAAGAAGGGTAAACAATAAACAATGAATTTAAATAATATTAACATAAAACTTTTGATAGGAAACCATGATAAAAAGAAAAGAGAATAACGAAGTGTCAGAAGAGAGATGCTACGCGGATAGCTTTCAGATGCTTTCAATTTAATCTGAAAAGCATCTCTCCCGGCTAATCTCTTCTGATATTGTCTGCTTTGTAAGTTACTATTATTCCCTGAGGACCAAAGAAGTCGATTTTTACCTCGTCCAAACTCTCAGCAAATGTTATTACATTGTCTCCGATTAATTAATCGATAACAGGGAGAATTTTATTTTGTTTCTCAAATATCGTAAGTTCTATTATTGATGGCAGGTTTTTTTATTAATCATAGATGTGCAACAGTGATTACTAACATCTGACCGATCAAATATTAACTTTATGAAAAAATAGTGAAAGCAAAATTTAATCGATAGAAAAATATTGTTCTATCGATAACTGGAATGTATACAATCATAAAATAATAAATATTGTTGCGATACATCGAATTAACGAGGTTGCGATGTATCGAACTCGTCCCTCTAGCACGCACGGCTGAACCAACCCTTAGGATCTGAAGGGAGTTGAAATAAACTGGTCGCTAAGGAGTTGGTCAGAGTAAACGAAGACAAACGAGTAGTCTTTGAGCGAACGTTGACGAGAATAGACGTGTTGAGCTATAGACTACATTCTGTAATATTTGTATGAAATTGTAAATATTAGTGTAAATAAGAACATTGTAAATAAACATGTCGCGGGCGAGCACCCCAGGACCCGCCCAGCGCAACAATATCATATATACACAGTTAAGAAATGTATAATAGATAAAAATACACGAACATATGCAGAACATGTAACTGTAAAATGAAAACCACAAACGTCTGCTTTGGTTTTAATAATGTTAAAAAATTTATTAATAGCAAGAATTCGTGGTACAGAGAAGCTATTATTATTACAAGAAAAATCTATTTCTCAGTAAAATCTTCTGCAGGTTGTAATGGACGAAATTTAGTAGTGTAACCGGTTTTTTCCTCGAAGTAACCTTTTCCACAGATATTGTACACGATACATTATGCTGTAGCTAATGAAAATACAAATTCATATATGCATGATAAAATGAAAATTGCATAAAATGTAACATCTGTTGTTACACCATGTATTTACATGAGCTTCCAGGACGAAGATACATAGCAAACGCACGTTAGCGTGGGAACATCTAATCATCGACTAACGGCACGCGTCGATACGGATACACTACTGCACGTCCGAATAATGTCGGCTTGATCCACTTGAGCCAAGCTTGTCTTTTTGCCAGGATTAAACTGTATTACGCGTGGTAAACACGGATGACAGTGTAACTAGAATTTAGCTTGCCTTACACAGACTGCCACTGCACAGCTGTTGCCTGTTTGATATACACGCGCATTTTAACGTTTTTGGCAGGTACACATACGTACTAACGAATTACAGTAAAATAATGTGTGTAAGGATTTTACAGATTTTTATACGTATATTTATATGCTTTATACAAACTTGTCTGTACATGTATGCAGTCGGACACAGAATTATGTGGACAGCTGATAGTAAAAAGTATCAATGCAATGTAAACAAATTCGTATTAGTCGAATATTTTTAACTTTCGTTTATTATATATCCTTATAGTGCATAGATTATTTACTGAAAAATTGAAAATAATATTTACATTTTTGTACAAGTAAACGATATTAAACAGAAAAGTCAGCTATCCGATGGATAAAAATATGTCGACACACATTAAAATTTGTTATAAATTAAACAAGTAATAAAATTAATATTTTATATTGCCGCCTTTTTTAGTTTTCGCTTAATTGTTTTTGCACAAATATTTAAATCTAACGATTCTATAATGTTTCTGACGGAAGTTGTATCTTTTCGACATTTCTTAAGAATACGACAGTCTTCTTGTATGGCAACGCAACGTTTTCGTTCACAATCTCTTAAATTTTCGATAGTAATATGAATTAAAAATATCTTTTATAAATCTTCTAGACTATACTTTTAGACACACGATACTTGCTGGTAAGAGTATGATAGCGTATGTTAATACAAACAATCCGAAACTAAGCTTTATGATTCGATAAAAACAAATGAAAAATAAATTATATATTTCCATGTGTAATGAAGAAATATCAACAAGGGGAAAAACGAAAATTAACTCACTCAGTTTTAACTCAATTTCGATGGATAAAATAATAAAAGAAAATGAAACGAACGAAAATGGAAATCATTGCATAAAATAGCTCGACATCGTACTAATTCGACGTTATGGTTCGTGAAAAAAAATAAATGGAACAAAGAAGGGAGTTGAATCGCGGAAAGCTGTGGGGGCTGAAACGTACCAGCGTGTTCAGACCAACCAAACAAAACACCATTAAATCCGAATCAACTTCTTAATTTGAACGAATGGTTTTTTGTCCGTTGTTGTCCCACAGGCAACACCACAATAATAACCGCGATCGTTCGTCATCATTAAGCGGCCCGGAAAAATGCATTTCCTGTGTTTTATATCTGGAACCACGAAATTTTTTGTTGGCATCCAACTTGCTACAAGCAGTTTAGGACAACGTTTCTCAAGCAATCACCGATCAAATGTTCATAGTACAAGTATGACAGCTGATGTTGCACGGTAAAATCGACATTTTTCGTGGGTATCCTTTTTCAGGTAGTTAAAGCCGCCATTTAGAGATTCACTGCCAACATTCTACAAAACTTAATACTTCTGAAATTAAATGCAAATGTTATAAATATATAGGTTAGCGATAACTATTTTCTTATTTTTAAGATTAAGATTTCTGCGCGTGTCCTGCAATTTCTTCGCTACTACCATGGTGTAAAAAATATTAACTCCGGAAACCAACCTACAAGAAAGGTATCGCATCCGGAAATTTAAAAAATTATGAAACTTCGTGTTTAAGTAAAGTAAATCAAGCCTAATATGTATATTGCAATTTTTTTCGTGCCGAATTTCACTTTGAAGGAGTAAAGCCACCCCTTAAAAAATGCGAATTTTTCTTTCCAATAGATTATCTTGAGCACGGTAAAATATAACGAAACAATCTTTCAACAAAAAATACATTGTTCTTTCATATCTATAAAACTTAAAATAAAATTTTCAAATCAATCATTTTCAAAATCAAAATTTTGAAAAATTTAAACATTTTCAAAAATGTTATTTTGTAGTTTTATAAGCGTGAAATAACAATGTATGTTTGTTTGAACTTTATGTCGCTATCTCCTATCGTTCTCAAGATAATCCATAAGAAAGAAAACTTTGCATTTTTTCAAGGAGTAATTTCACCCGCTGAAAACGATATTCAGCACGAAAACAAATTGCAATATATTATGCTTAATTTACTCTACTTACACACAAAGTTTCATAATTTTTTTTAATTTCCGGGTTCGATACTTTTCCTTATCGTCTTTTCAGTTCATTGATATAATTTGTCTGCAGAGATACATTGTTTAACATATTTCATATAAATTACATATATTTGAGTCCTTTTTACAAATTCTTTATAATCATTTACATTTAAATTACGAAGCTTCTAAAGAAAATATTTAGGTAGTTTTATATATAGGTCTGTGTCATTCATGAATACTGTGACAGTCAGTACGTTAACTATTAAGACAGTCGTAACGTTAGCTATTTGATTCGGCACAAAAAAATTATAAAATTTAAAATTCAATATTAAATTTTGTATAAGGTATCAACACATAG